TCCATTACATCGTCTTTCCACAGAAAAAAAAATTACATTTCAGACCTTCAGCTAACTGATTAAAATGAAAGATGACAATCAGGGATATGATTAAGGAAAATGTGAACATTGCCAACTCAATATACCATATATGGTGTAAGTAAACAGAAGGAATACTCACCAAGGAGTTTTTGCAGTTCCAAAACCTTCAAGCTATGTTGTTGTCCGTCCGAGCAGTCCTTTCCACCATTGTAGCATTCGTGTTCCATCCTGATATTTGAATACAAGGTTTTTACATATAATAATAATACATGAATTGCCTTAACAGATAGGCGGATATTACAACAGCTAGTAAAGTAGGTCATCTGTAAAATTGTCTTGAATGTTTGTTTAGTGATTTTCTAAGAATACATATAGTTTTGAGTGTCAACACAAGGTTGATGAGAGTTACAGGTTTTCAGTTTAAATAGTAATACTTTTAAAAAGTCTAAAAATTATTTTCTTTGTAAGTATAATAACACTTGAAATTTATTATTGTAAAGAGTCTCTGAAATCCAAAATGTATCTTTGTATAAGTAAATCTATACTTAAAAATATTTTTAAAAGCAACCAAACCATGGTTTGTAGTTTGAAAGAGTGAGATTCCAATTAATGTTTATTGTGAGTCCTATATTTGTGCTATGTGACTAAATCTACCCCTTACAACGCTTCATTGGACATTATAGTAACAATTGTAGATACGTGTCACCCTCTTCGATTGATCGATAGAGGTTATAGCCAACAAACACAGGTGGTGATGTCAACTGTGTATAGATCTATACATATATATCTCGCTCTGAAGATTAACGATTATAGTAGTATGTGTATGATAAGTGTTTAGAATCAGCTAATGAATATAGTCTCACTAAAAATCCCTTAACTAAAGTGTGTGAGTAGCTCTAAACCCTAACTTGATTATGTTTAAGTCACTACGAATAATGAATTTCATTGTATAAAGTTTATAGAAGCCATGTATGCTTGGTAAGAATGTAAAACTCTAATGTACTCGCTTTTATAAAGAGGTAGGTTCCAAAGTAATGAACACATGTACATGTATAAACTTTATGAATTTAAACATATAAATATACGTCCATAGTAATAACTTCTATCCTTGAAATATTACAAAGTTTTATGACGTGCTTTTTATGATATACAATGTCACGTAAAAATCATATACTTTTGTATCATGTAGCATTTGTTATGTGGACTAGTTATTTGACAATAAAATAACCATAATACGTACATGAAAATTTTATAGTAGTTTGTTTGTAACAATATGTAAATTGTTATATAACATGTTGATAACATATTTACATAAACAAAGCATATAGGCACGTGTATTCCCTTAGAAAAAGTTAAAATTATTAAAAAGGGGGTCGTAAGAACTCACCCTTGAAGCGTGAGTTCGATGTGTACGGAATCGGTTTATTTTGAGAAGCTTGACGTGATAAACCACAAAGCCACGATTCTTGATCTTTGGAATACTTTCTGGACCATTTCGTAACGAATTTAAACTATTGAGGGTTGTTTGGTAATTTATTTAACCAAAGGAGGACCGCTTTGGTCAAAATAAATCAAATGAGGCACTAAAATGGTTTAAATGGAATTTAAGTTTGGGAATTGGATTGATTTTGTTAATAAATCTCCATGGGAGGGGTTGAAATGATTTTTTAATCAAAGTTTGAATATTAGGCTGAAATGATTTAGTGAAGACTCATCAACACTGAAGAATCGCTTCAATCAAGCTTAAGACCCGGAAATACCAAGTCAAAGCACGTGCAAATACTAGTTCAACAGGATCCCAGAAATATCCGAATTTTAGTTACATAACCTAGACTATATATACAATCGTAAAATGTACACACCTGACACAATTGGTTGAAACCTTAGATACGTTGAGCTACTAAAACACTTATACTCGTATCTTCATAATCATTTTTGTAATTTTCATTCAACTCAACAAAATCGAACAAGGCAGGTGATTTTTATCACCTCCCAAGGTTTTGTGAAGGAAATCCTATCAAGGATTAAGAGCTTTCCTTGTAAACCACTTGTGTAATTCTGATCTCAGTTCGATACTTAAATGAAAAACTAGAAAGAAAGAAAATACAAACACCAAACGGAAACAACCTACCCTACCCCTGCACAGATACACAAAACAACCTAACTAAGAACATCAAGATTGCTGCAAGATAGCTTGAAAAATGTCTAGCTAGTAAAAACAGATACTAAACAAATCATAGGCACATAATGATAAGCAATGAAGACCTCACCTAAAAAATATTCCTAAAATATCGCACTGAAGCAAGCCAACTATAACAGCCTCTGAAACTACCCCAAGTTAGCCACATCAAAATAAAAAGACAAGAAATATCAATCATAACCCAAAATTAACCAATACCACTCAGATTAGTGCATCACATACTAAAAGAAGGTGACATACACCAAACTGTACGTGCATGATTAAAAAGTTTGGATCGATGTTTAATCCAATTTAAGGTGTTAACACTATTATTATTAACAATCATCATAAAATTCCAACTCTCATTCCTAAAAACATTCACATTTATTGCCTTCTAGATCATCCACATAGAGTAATACAAACCAAAGATCCAAAATGTTATTGGTAATTCATGTGAATAATATATATAGATTACAGAATTCCCTAGATTTCAGACTTTTTGCTCGATATATATATATATATATATATATATATATATATATATATATATATATATATATATATATATATATAGGGCTGGGTTCAACAAGGAACCATTTTAAACCTTAGAACCAAGGCACCCATCTTTTCTAAAGTTTTAGAGAAAAAATTTCATCAAAAAAACTAAAAATATAGATATTCATAAATTTTTATCCTCCATCCATTGATATCAAATTTAATGAAAAAAATTGAGCTGTTCAGATTCACACTGTGAATTTGCACAGATTCACCATGTGAAATTTGTGAAGATTCACACTGCAAATATGTGCAAATTCACATTGTGAATTTATACAAATTAAATTAATGAATTATTGTGCATATTAACAATGTGAATCTGAATAGATAAAAAAATTATCAAATTTGATATCAATGGGAAGAAAATAAAAAGTTATGAATTTTTATAATGTTAGAATTTTTTTTGACAAATAAAAAGATCTAAAACTTGAAAAAATAATGGTTCCTTGTTGAACTTATATATATATATATATATATATATATATATATATATATATATATATATATATATATATATAGAGAGAGAGAGAGAGAGATGTTGGTTCCATTAAGATTAATAAAACATTAGAGATTATGAGATAGGTGGATAACTCTTTGATGTTATAATCTTTATTTGTAAAATCTGGCCATGGCATAATTGTAAATACATAGGTAACTATTCAAATTAACGCCCTTAGTTACCATTCTAGGGATAGTATCGTAATTTTACAAAGAATCATATCAGTTTTGCAGAGACTACGATACTGTAATCGTCTATACTCTTCTTTTCTTTCTTGATCAAAATTTCACTTAGAAACTCTCATGAAAACCCTCTTTTTCTTTCTTTATCACACTTTGCACTAGTTTTAGTTTGTTAGTTGTGCAAATTAAGTTTGAAAAATTAGTGAATGTCTTCACGATAAAATATAAATGAAGTCGCATCTTCGTCAATCGAAATGAAAGGTTAGAATGCGAGTAATTTTCATTTTATTGATAGTACATGTTTGTTTTATTTAGTTATTTGTAGTTTTATGTTGATAATGATGGTTTTTTTTATTCAGTAATTTTTTCGTCGTTTTTACTTGATTTTGATGCTTTTTGCGTTTACAGTTCATCTATTTTTTATTATGTTTGTTTGTGATGGTTTTTGATCCAAGTAGTTGTTTATATTTTCACAGATAAGGATTTCAAAAGAAATTATGTTCGAAAAATGTTTGAAAATTATAAAAATCTCGAAAGCGGTAGAAGTGTTATTTCCAGATGTACAGTTCAAAAAATCGATGTTCAAAGAGGTTTCTGTGATATTTTTGGTCGCATTTTCTTCTATTATTTTTTATTCAAAATTGATTATTAGTGATTTTGTATTTCTATGTATCAAAAGTGAATATGAAGATCTTTCTGGTGAAGTTAAAGAGAAAATTTTAAAGTGAAGAAATGTTAAAGGTATTTGTTGTAATCATAACTGATTTTGTATTTTTTCAATGGATTGAACATAACCTTTAGTTATATGTTTATTTTTAGTTCTAATCATAAATGATATTATATGTTTGTTTATGATCATTAGTAAATAGTAATGATAAATGTATGTTTTTATAATCATTAGTGATTATGTGATTTAAAATCATAGTTTATTAGTCATATTAATTTTTGTTTTGTATTAGTTACTAATTATGTTAATTTTTTTGTAGCAAATGCTTTTATTTATGAGAAGGAAAATGAAGATATTCTATAGAAAAATTTCAAGGTTAAAAATGATAAAGGTATGTTTTTGCAATCATAAGTGATTATGTTTCTTCATTTGTAACTAACCATATGCCTTATGTTTTCTTTTTTACTAACTATTTTTCTAATAAACATTATAGTTAAAAAAATGTAATTTTACAAAGAATGTATCAGTAGAGAGCTCAAGGCAGACACAATCATCTTCCGAAAAAGAAAAGGCCAAGGAGGTAGTGAAAACACGATCAAAGAAATCCAAAAAAACAATTATTGAACAATCAAAAGTGAACCTGGCCGTTAAGGGAAAGAAATTAGTTTTTGAAAAGGTCAAAACTATAAGTAAGAAACCTGAACTATCTGATGAAGATGATTCTGATTTTCAAAGTCATCTTTGATTTTCAAAGAAACCAAAGAGAGAAGTTAAAGTTGTGAAAAAAAAATTGTTGTTATAAAAGAATTTCTTTCATTGAAGCACAGATGTTCACCCGGGTCATTATTGTATGTTATTCAAGATTTAAGTAGAGAATATAAGGAGTGTGTTAGGGCTATGGGATTTGGGAGTTTGTTACGGATGAAGACGATTGACATACCGTTAAAGATTGTTTATTATGTTCTTGATCATTTTAATTTTGAAACTTTGAAGGTGGATTTTGAGAATTGTCAAGTTAGTGTTGATAGTAAATTTGTTCATGAGATGTTAGGATTACCATATCGTGGCTCATTACTTTCAAACATGGATTACATTTCCGAGAATAATGAAGAGAGTTTTATGTTTGAGTGGAAGAAACAGTATGGAAATATTGATAAATTGAGATTGAAACAGCTAAGGAATGAACTTGTTCGAACTAGTGCAGCGGATGATAACTTTAGAATCAATTTTTTGGTTCTTTTTATTAATACATTCTATGAGTCTACAAGCATGGGTAAATGTAATCTGAATCAATTGTATTTAATCAGAAGAGATACTGATTTAAGTAGCATTGATTGGTGCAATTTCATTGTCAATTGTTTGGTAATGACGAAGAAGGTTTACAACCCAGAGAAAAAACCATCTTTCTTTTATGGACCAACAACATACCTTATGGTACGTGAGCTGCTTTTTAATATTAAATATTTTTTTAGTTGTAAAAATATGTTTGTTTTTATTTTTAAGCATATATGATTGTATAATCATATATGATTAATTATATATTACACAACATAATCATACATGATTATTGATATATATATTATGATTAATGATATATTTGATTTGTATAAATCATATATGATTATATAATCATATATGATTATATAGTCTAATTTTTGTTTAATTATATATTACACATCATAATCATATATGATTATTTATATATATTATTATTAAGTCTATAGTAAATTGTATAAGTAAATCGTTTTAGAAAGTTAACTTATTTGGTATATATGTTTTTTGTAGTTTTTCTATGTAGATAGTTTCAAGTTTGATCATTTGTATGTCACCCGAAAACATCCAACAATTATTTATTGGATGACATAGAAGATAAGGTTTCTTGAGAATAGTTTACAAGAGAATGGAGGATTTGGATGTGGGGATGTTAGTGAAACATATGTTGAAGAAGAATCTCAAGAATCTGAGTATAATGAGGAGAAATCTGACGATGATGAGGATGAATTTGATGGTGATGAGGATTTATCTGGTGAGGATGAAGAAGAGTTTGATGTTAATAAAGTTAGTGTTGTAGAGGTAATTTTATAGTTATATTCATTTATGATTTTATAAATGTATTCATTTGTGACCGTTTATGATTAAGTATTTTATTTTAAGTATCTAATCTCTTATGTAGATGTATGAAGGTAAAACTTAATATATGTATTAGAAGATGGAGGATTTGAAAAAGGATCTTGTTGTAAAGATAAATGAGGGAGTGTTGAAGTTTCCTCAAAGTTAAATTTTGAAATTTTGGAAATTATTATTTCCTGTTTAAGACTTTAAGCACAGAAAGTTCTGATTTCCATTATGTTTCAAAACAAAGTAAAGAACCAATGTTGACACCTGCTTTTGGTCAAGTTAACGATGATAAAGAAATCATAATAGTAAGCCATGATGATGATTATGGAAATGATTTTCTGAATGATCATGAAAATGTTGAAGATGATGATCAAGGGAAATATGGTGGTGCGTAGGGGGGTGGAAATCGTCCACATGAGGACCATATTGGTAAAATGATGTTGAAGGTAAAGTTTATGGTGCTAAAGGTGATGTTAATGATCATGCATATGAGGACGATATTGGTAAAAATAATGATTTTTTGAATGAGAAAATGATGAACACGGAAATGGAAGTGGATTCAATGAAGAAGAGACCATGAAGTTAGTTCTATTGTCGAAAATGTTACTAAGAGTGTTGGTCTAATTGATAGCTAGGAAGGTGTATCTTTTAGTCAATTCATGTGTGATCTAGTTGTTGAAAGTTTTCTTAAAACTTTGGATCAAGGTAAGCATATGTTTTTATTATAAATAGTTTAATCATATATTATTATAATTTTTTATGTTTGAATTTTATTGGTACCAAAAACGAGTTGAAGATTATGTGAATGACAATTTGACAGGTTTTGGAGAAAAATGAATTTGATGATGGTAAGTATTTTTTTATGTATTTTAATTACATAAAATATATATGAATATGTTATATAGATGATTCACTTATGATTTTAATAATTTAGGGACTATAAATTTGGGAGAGGATGATCATAACAAAGAAGTAATGCCAGATCGTACTGTTGAGAAAGTTATTGTAGAAAAGAAGAAAAAAGATGAATTAATTCATCCAAGTTTATTGAAAGGTTTTTCTAAAGTGTTAGTAGAAATTTCTAAAGCAAAGAAGGATGTAGAAGGTGTGGTAGAAGGTGAAGGTGTTGAAGTTGATTCGAATTAAGGAAAAGCAATAAAAGGTTGTTCAAATAAAAATAAAGATGGAAGAAATTAGTTTATAATTATTGTTTATTCATATATAATTGTGTTTATAATTGTTGTTTATTCATATATGATTTTTATAATTTTTTGGGTAGAAACTACTAAAGAATGTTTACAAATTATACAACGGAATGATTCAAATGAGACTCAATCATTGAAAACGAACAAAGCAGAAGGGAAAGTTGAGAAGTTTTATGATCAAACTTTTAGCCCTAGATTTAGTCAAGATTCTCAAGGATCCAAGAAGGTATCTCAAAGTCAAAGTTCACTTGGACGGATGACAAAGAAAAAGAATAAGGATAGAGTTTATTTGGGAAAACCAATTGTTGGGTCACAGTGTGTTGTTCCAAATGTTGATGTTATTGATGCTAGTCCAGTTTCTTTTGCACCCCCTTTGGGTACATTAGAAGTACCATCAAATCCAATTTCTGACCAAGTTATAGTGATAAATGAAAAAAGTCCATCAAAAGCAAAGTCTGACAAACCTAAAGATATAAATGTAGAAGGAACATCAGAAGTAGATGTCAAAGGAAAGAGTGAAATGAAGTTTTGTTATGATTATAAGTCACCTTTTAAGGAAAGGTTAATTGATTTTAAACCAAGTTTGACACAAGTAGAATTTTTTTTTGTGAATGGCTTTTCAGTCTTCAAGGAAATCCAGGGTAATGTTTTAAATATATTTTTTTATAATTATAATTTTTTATTTTTAATAACATTTAAATAAATATCTATATGGATATGGTCTTGCTTATGGAATCAGATATTATGGGTTTTAGAGCTAATTACAAAAGTAACTATAAGAAAACCTATTTCCATGTAAGTGTTTTTGATTCATGGTCTCGTATACTAAATCATGAAGAAAAATTCAGAGATGTTACTAATTCTCCAGTCAGATTGTTCATAAGTGTTGATACTGTAAGATTTTATTTTATGTTTTTCTTTTTATATTTTGATAACTATTAATATTTTTTATTAAATATTTACATTGTATTATATAATCATTTCTGATTTTCTTTTATATTACAGACTTTTCCACTTGAATATAATCATATAAAGGAAATTGGAAAGTATAAAGTTTTCAAGGACAACATCTCTATTAGTGTTTCTGGTGACAGAGACTTGTAGGTTTTGAAGGATGTTGATATGGTATATTTAGTTTTTTTATGCATGCATATATATATATATATATATATATATATATATATATATATATATATATATATTAATGTTTTCTTTCAAATATTATGCATGTTGATGTCAGATATTTTTCCATGTTGTGAGGAAAAAGCACATATATCTTATTGTTATTAATCTGAAGAACCCTGCTTTTAAGGTTATTAATAGTGGTGCAGATGATGCTGATTTTGATGATAAGTGTGGTGCAATTTTTAAACCTATTGTAAGTTTCAAATCATATTTAATCTTTTGATTAGAAATCATATATGATATGTTTTATAATTATTATACTTATATTTTTCTGAGTTCAAATCATATATGATTTTCAGAAAAAGTTTTTTTTGAAGTATCTACAAGAGATCAAGCATGTTAAAGCAAATGAAATGGCAGATAAAAATCTTACACTAGTAAGATTGAAAATGCCATGGAGGACATTTTACAACCAAGTGGATTGTATTGTTTTTTTGCTATGAGACATATGGAGAGTTATTTTGGAGAAAAATGTTCTAAATGGAAATGTAGTCTTCCAAAAGAAGGTCCTTCTTAAGAAAAAATTCTAGAGAAGTTGAGAATGAAATATGCAACATAAATTTTAACTTCTGAGATTAATATGATGTGTGATTGTAACGCCCTAAACCAGGTATGACTTGAAACCCTTGAAGAATTTACTTTTTGGCATAATTGGTCCTTTAAGTACGTTGGGCGTACATATGTGTACGCTTAGCGTACTATGCATGGGTGATCGCGAAGGAGTTGGACATCCGGTTGGCGTACCAGGCGTACGTGCCGAGGGTGCAAACCTTAATTTTCGGACTTGTGACCTATTTAAACGTACTTAACTCACTTGAGCCTCACCCTCACAAGCTCTCTTCACCTTCAAACGTTCCTAGAAGTCCTAATATACTTTGTGAGTGCATTTTGAGCCTTAAGAGTGAAATTGTGATCCTTTTGTATTCATCCTATAAGAAGTAAGGGATTAAGGAAGCTTGGAGTGTCATTTGGCTTTAAGAATCTGCATATAAATGACATTGAGGAGTTCTTGGAGGTAAAAAGCTTGGATATTTCCACTTAAATATCTAGATCTAGCTAGGGTTTTCTAGCTTTGTTCTTTTTGTTGATTTTGGACCCTTATTTATGAGTTTAGCAACTCCGGAAGATGGGAATAATAGATCTGAGGTCCCTTGGTCCTTTAGTGTCAAAAAAATGGAGTCTTGGTGGGAGTTTTGATCTCATGCATGGGTTAAGAACCTTGAAAATGTCTTAATGGTGGTGTTGGGTGCATATATGGCTTGAAAAGGCATAAAGTTTCCAACTTTATGACTTAGGACATCTTAACAATCCTAGATCTCACTTTTGGATGTAAAGGAATTGTGTATTAAGCACTTAATGGAGAAAGTGCTTAACCAGGTAGTACGTTGGGCGTAACCTAGTGTACGCTGCTCATAGTCCCAAGACCCCAGTACGATGCGCGTACCAGGATGGTACACCGAGTGTACGCATCACAGATGGACCCGAATCTATTTTCGGCCTTGGAGCTTTTGGTCCTCATTTGATTATTGGACTTGGTTACATTCTATGAGTTATGGGCCATGGATATATTGGTTAGGCCTTATTGGGACAAGAGGCCCATTAATAATTTTGTACATGGACTTTGGGCCCATTAACAAAGAGAGGATGATTGGGCCTTATGGAAGGATTTGGGGTTTTGGTTCCCTTTTATTTAGTAGAGTCCTAACATTGATTAATTTTATTATTCAACATGGGAGGCTATCGATTGTTAGGAGATCAGCTTTCGCATTTAGCAGACAGAGGTGAGTTTCCTCACCATATCAATGGGTCTAAAGCACCAAGGCTAGCCCATTTCATGATATGTAGTGTCCTAACTGTAATATTATTATTTGGTATGATATTTGGTAGGAGCTAGGAAGTATGCTTGTATTATATGTGGCATGTGGTATCGAAGACCATGGGAGAGCCATGACACTTGGATGTAAGACCATGTGGAGAGGCCATGGTTTTCCTACCGTAGACCATGAGAGAGCCCATGACACGTAGACGTAAGATCATGGAGAGCCCATGGCTTTCCTATCAAAGACCATGGGAGAGCCCATGACACTTAGGTGCAAGGTTGTAGAACTCACTACTCGGTACCTGCTCGGCCAACTGGGGAGTAGCGAGTACTCGGGAGTACTCGGGGAGTACTCGGATTCGGTAATTCATGTAGAAATATTTTTTAGAAAATTATATATGTCAAAATCATAAGTTAAAATCATAATTTGATTGAAATATATAACCAAAATTAGATACATGTGAATACATAAAAAACTGAAATACACATAATTATCTCACTACGTGGATAATTACTGAAAATTTAAGATATACACGTTGTAATAATCACATGTCTGTGTTCAATAATAAATCATTAAGTGCATTATACATATTAATCTTGAAATTCTTGACTTTTTCTCTTTTTATGACAATTTTGACCCTTTGACCGAGTTTGACTGATTTTGACCGAGTTGGCCGAGTTTGACCGAGTAGGCCCGAGTAAGACCGAGTAGGCCCGAGTTTGACTGAGTTTGTCCGATTTTTGACCGAGTTTGACCGATTTTTGGCCAATTTTGACTAAATCCGAGTTTTTTGACCGAGTTGACATTACTCGCCTCGGTGGAGGGCCGATTCCGAGTAATTGGCCGAGTAGGCCGAGTTTTGCAACACTGCTTAGGTGTAAGACCATGTGGGGAGCCCATAACATCCTGGAATAAGACCCTGAGGACGAGCCCAAGACATCCCTATCTGTTGTATGCATTGCTTATGTGATTTGTATAGTTGTTTAGCTAGTATGTTATGTTATATGTAACCATGTGTGGTTATGATATGGAGAACTCACTAAGCTTTCAAGCTTACCGTTTGTGGATTTGTTTCAAGTACATCTGAACCCACGGGCAAGGTCAAGGCGTGATGGTGCGGCATGCACTCTATCTCTCTTTCATTGTTATGTTTTGAGGACACTCTGATGATTCAAATGAAGTTGTAATGAATATTTATTTGCAAACAATTATGTTGGGATTTCATGATTATGCAATGTGTTTTATTAATTAAAAATGAAAATTTTCTTTGTAAAATTTGGGTCGTTACAGTGATAATGTGTTGAAAGTTGCATATGAGTATCAAAAAGTTTATTCAAAGATTCGTGGTAACTATTCATATAATGCTCAATGGAATATAGAATCAAAAAGTTGCATATTCGATGTTTTTTTTTTAATGCTGATGTTTTAAGAACAAGTTTGTTTATGTTGGTATATGTTGTGTTTATGGTTATGGATATTCTGAATTATGTTATTGAAGATTTTCTGATTTTAGAATGTTTGTTTTTATGGTGACAGATATTGTAAACAAGTTTATATGTATTTTGATGGATTTTATTATGTAAGTTTGTTTCTATGAATTATGTTATTGAATGTTAATCATAAGTGATCATGTTATATTTTTATATGTAATTATGTTTTTAGTACCCATTATATGTTATTTATATGACATCATTAGTGATTGTATATATGTTGAACGATAGATAAGATATATTGAACATCAATTAATATTTTATTTTTGTTTTTGTAATTATAAATGATTACATATGTAGAACACCACATTATAATTTGTTATATTTTTTCTTGATAAGTGAGCGCACTTTTATATTATCTTGAGTGCATTGAACACATCACCATGCATAATCTTATCTTTTTTAGATTTTGTTGTTGTCTTCTAGTGTTTGTAGTGAAGAATCGTTGCTTTATAAATCTAAACCAAATATGTTTTTTCATTGAACTGTGAATCTGTTTTTATCAAGGGGTAGCCTCATGCTACCCATTAGATTTGGTCAAAGATGAGTGGTGAAGCTATAAAACATATAAATCAAACATTGAAGTCTTCTTTTATGATGTTAATTTTTCTCTCACTTTTGAAGAAAATCATTCTTATACTTCTCCAATGGTTAGTTTCATTTATTAATTTCTTCAATTTTTAATTTAATTTTTTTTATCTATCACTATTACTTATTTATGATGTAAACAACATCCATTTCACTTCACGTAAAATATGGACTCTATAAGTCAAAAAGAACTAATTTTGCTATATCTGATAACATGTTCCCTATTTTTTTCAAGATTCTTGTTCTTTTATTTGTAGCTAGATTTTCATACAGATTGTAGTTGACTCCAAGAACACCACTTCCACCATTACTTAAAAAGTTTATCTTCACTAAACATATCAGATCTTTACTAGATGTCTTTAAAGTAGACGAATGTTTTTCATTTAAAGAAGATTTCTTTTTAATGGACATTTCTCTACATCAGATATGTAGTAAAGATTTGGTATGTTCAATGGAGTTAATCTTTCTAAGTAATGGTGGAAGTGTTCTTGGAGTGAGCTACAATTTGTGTGAAAATCTAGCTACGAACACGAAGAACAAGAATCTTGGAAAATAGGGAACGTGATATTTGAGGCTTGTGAAATTATTTGTTATTGAAGATTTGATCATGTTTGATGTGATTCAATGATGGGTGATTAGAAGTTGCTTTTATAGATGAATATGGTTATGTTTATACTTTTTATGAACAATGTTGTTATATATGGTGATGGTTCTTCTGAACAAGTTTTATATGTATGGTGATGTATTTTATTATTTAATTTTGTTTGTATTAACATTTTATGAACTTCAATCATAATTGAATGTATTATATATTTATATGTAATGAGATTTATAGTACAACTTAGATGATATTTATTTGTAATCATAAATGATTAAATGTATTGAATAATATTTTATATGTAATCATAAATGGTTACATGTACTGAATAACAATTAACAGATTACATAATTATTTCTATTTGTATAATCATAGATGATTATGTAATACCACTTCATATGTTTTGTTTAATCATATGTGATT